AAGAGTAAACTCATGAGGTCTACTCTGAGCCAATCATTTGGACAAGTCAGAAAAGCTTACAGAAGACAAGGGAAGCTCTGAAACCAACTGAGGGATTCAAGCTCAGGAAGGGTTAGAGATGGAGGCAGAGGTTAGAGTCAGAGACGCATTTAGAATTAGAGTTGGAGGCATTTAAAGTTAAGGCTCTACTAGTTTCTAACCCTAACCTTAAATGCCTCTGACTCTAACCCTAAATTCTTACACACTGGATTTCTTTAGTCTGAGTTAGGACTAACTTAGTAAAACAACGGTCCCTGGTCAGTAAGTAAAATTTATATTAAAGAAAAGTATTTACACATTTTCTTTTATCTGCAGTAACATAAAATTCAAATTTCATGGCACACCTTAGTTGGAGAAACACTGTAGTGTGTGTGTGTGTGTGTGTGTGTGTGTGTGTTTGTGTGTGTGTGTGTGTACACTACTATTATTTTAGGCTTGCCTTCTACATGCAAAATAAAAAAGAGACTGCTCTTTCCTCAATGAAAAAAATCAACCTGGATAGCTATATCAAACCAATGCATAGATTCAATTTTTTTTAATTGATTGTAGGGGCCAGCTAGGTGGTGGTGCAGTGGACAGAGCTCCTGCCTTGGAGTCAGGAGGACTTGAGTTCAAATCTGAACTCAGACCCTTGACACTTACCAGCTGTGTGACCCCAAGCAAGTCACTTAACCCCAATTGCTTCAGCAAAAAACCAAAACAAAACAAAAGTTGATTGTATAAAGTGTTAAAGTTGATGCAGTAATTCTCTAAGACTCTTGGATATCATCAGTTGTGGGCTATTCCTTCCAATGATACAAATTCTAACTTATTCATACCTGCTCAGCCTATGTGAATTTTTCCCACGTCTTCTCATAATGTTGCCCTGGAGCATCCAGCCTCTAGGGGCTGGAGTCTTCCTCACTTTCTCTTTACATGGAGATAACACCAGGTGAACACATGGGCTCTCCATTGTTTATCCCTGACCTTCACCATATGACCCACTTGTCTTCCTCTTCTCCTTCATCCTCACAAACAGAGCCATCATTACATAAGTTTTAGATTTGCAAAGTGCTTTCCATAACACTAGCTCAGCTGACCTTGAACTAAACAGAAGAACACCCCTGGAGTTTCTTTTCTACCTGATTCTCTGCAAACAAGAAAGATCTTAATAAATTACTGCCATCACCGATCAAGGCAGCATACCCCTCCTCCCACCTGCACAGCACACCTACGGCTGAAACAGTCTGACAGCCAGAATGCTGGTGCGTTTCAGGCTCTCCCCACCGTAATCTTGACAGCTGAACTACTCACTGCTTGTCTTTGGGAAGAATAGAAAGTCTGACAGTATCTTAATTATAGCGACAGAAGTAACAAAGTCATGTAATACCACAAAATATGGCCAAGAAGCAGTTTGGTAAAGACTTGTAAAGTACTCCTTGTGCTAAAGGTTAAGAGGAACTGCCAACTTGCTTCAGGGATGGGGTGGAGGGAGCTTCATATGATTTTATCAGAAGAGGGATTCAATAGCATCTCTCCCAGGGTGTTCCAGCTCTGTCTTTGCTCCACTCTCTCTTTTGGCTTACAGTTGTCTCCCATAAAGATTCCTAATTCAATTCCTTCAATGCCCTGTCGTGAATCATTTGAAATACTCTCCCTTGTTTTCCACAGGTCAACAGAATTTAACTTTAAAACCACAGTCTTCCTGCTAGATTCTCCTAATTATCGACCTGGAAGGAAGATAAGGATTTCTCAAGGATGGTAGGGTGATGCTGCCCCGCCCCTGTCCCAGTCTCCTGCCATGAAGAAATCTTGGTAGATGGACTTTCTTGAGTGGAAGTAGGAAATCTAGGGATATAGTGACAGAGCTTCATGAACACAGGTTTTTCAACTGGCTCTTTAAGTATGGTTTTAATGCTTTGTAGACCAGTATACTGGTTACTCAGCCAGATAAGGCTAGCAAGTCTCATTAGCATATTGAACAAACTGCATTGGCTTACAAAAATGGAATGATTTTTGTGTTCTCCCAATAAATTCATGATGGAGCTAGGCAGTAAGAAGAAACAGGATTTAGAAGAGCAGACAGACTCAGCAAATGCCATTAAGTAGCCAAAATAAGAAAAAAAAAAGAATATGGTCAAACATGACTGACGTAGTAATTGGCAGAGCCAAGGTTTGAACCTAGGCACTCTAACTTCAAATTCAGATCTGAGTTATCTTCATTCCATGAAATTCCATTCAACTCCCTCATATACCAAGCAGAAGGTCTGACACATTGTAGAATCTTAGTAAATGTTTATTGACTAACTGTACGTGAAATTTCTAAAAATCTGTTCCACTGAGAAAGAGGAAGGAATGACATTACAATGGGAAGATCACTTGCCTAGGACTCAGAAGAATCAGGTTTTCCACCCTGGTTTTATTGCTGAACAGCTGTGGAACCATGGACCAATGATATGAACTTTCTGAGCCTCAGGCAACAAAGGGGTTGGACCGACCTCAGGCTGGGATGATATCAAGCAAGGCTTCTCAAATACATCCAGAGACTGACATAGTTATTGTGGTCTTTAGCTCACATTTTTCAGAACAATTTCATATGATAACCAAACACTTTCTGCAGAGGGAAAGTATAATGTGTCTTATACATGAATGTTTTTCCTTTAAAAATGCATATTGATGTAGTGAGGATGTAAAAAAAAAATGGAAAGAACAATAGATTTGGAATCAGATCTCTGAATTCAAATCCTACTGCTGCCACCTACATCATGGGTCAACTGGTAGAGTCACTTAATTCCTCTGGGGCTTGATTTCCTCATCTATAAAATGAGGGTCCTGGTCTCAATATCTTTTAAATTTCCTTTCAGCTCTAGCTGTAGGATTCTATGTTGTTATGAAGTCAATCTCCTTGGGTCTCTCTTTCTTCAACTATGAAATGAGGGGAGGACCAAGGAACCTGTGAATGGTATTCAGGGTAGTTTTTTTTTTAATCGTGCATTTTCCCCAAACAACAAATAGTAAAATTGTAACTATTATAGAAAGACCTGTACCATACACAGATCCATGTACACTTATAGTATATATGTATATAAGTGTATCTGTGTATCTTTCTATATAACCTGTATTTATATATGTATGCATGCATATACATATAAATATATATGTAAATTATATATACACATGTCAATATATGTGTGTATATATTTGTGTGTGTACAGAGTATCTCAAAATTCTTAATGTCATTTTTATTTGTTAAAGCTATAAAACTATGTAAATATTTACTATATAAATATACATATATCCCTTTATATATCTCTCTCTCTACAAATATAGATATAAATACTCACATGCATATAGATACATCTCTCTATATATACATATACACATAAATGATTCATATAGAAACATACATATATATTGTATTAAGTGTATATATGTGTATGTTTCTCTATGAATCATTATACATGCATAAATGTAGATATTCATATGTATATGTGTATGTGTATCTGCGTGTGTGTGTGTGTGTGTTAGTTAGATGGTACAAGGGATAGACTGATGGGCCTGGGGTCAAGGAAGACTCATTTTCCTGAGTTCAAATCTGGCCTCAGACACTAGCTGTGTGACCCTGAACAGGTCACTTAATCCTATTTGCCTTAGTTTTCTCATCTGTAAAATGAGCTGGAGAAGGAAATGACAAATCACTCTAGTATCTTTGCCAAGAAAAACCTAAATGGGGTCATGAAAAGTTGGGCATGACTGAACAAAACAAAAAATACGTATGTGTGTGAATATATACATATATAGATATGCAAACATACATGCACACATACATGTGTATGTATATCTATCTATATCTATCTAGACATGTTTATAGAGTGTCCTCATACTCAAATAGGTAGAAAGCCATGGGTTGAGTTGAGCTCTAAGATTTCTTATGGATTTATAACTCTTCATAGTTCTAGGAGAAGAGGTAGATTAGGATTGCAAGTAATAAGAACATCAGAAAATATTTAAGCCTGCATTTCAGCATTAGTGTGATAAACTCAATTGTCGGGACCCCTTGAAGACACATGCTTGCTATAGCATTATTCTTCATAGAGTAGAATTCGGTTTCCTATGGTGCGGGTTTATTTGAGAAGGTTTATTTTAGTTTGTGGTTTTATGACAGAAGGCCTAGAAAGGCCTCATCTCAAGTAGTTCATCTATAAAAAAAACATGATGTAGTAATAATAATAACAAGCACTTAGATGTGTATAGCCATTTATGCTTATAAAGTATTTGACTTTTATTATAATAATAGTAGCTCATATTTATGTGGTACTAGATGGCATTATGACTTCTAGGCATCCTCTTCCTAGCAATCTGATGAGGTAGCTAATGATAATGATAGAATATGAGAATCCTGAATGCAGGAAGTATTTGCTATTTATCTTTGTAACCTCCATAACTAGCACAGAGCCTGGCAGGTGTAGACACTTAAATGTTTGCTGACTGACAGTGATGATGATAATGGTGGGGATGGGATGGTAATAATGATGGATGATCATGATGATCACATATAAGGGATTTAAGGTTAGAAAAAGCTTTTCACAGCCACCCTGTGAACTAGGTCACATTCCCATTCTTATACCTACTTTGCTCACAAAGAAACCGAGCCTCAGAAAGATGCATTTGTCCATGTAGGGCCACATAACTTGTTAGCTTAGCTCTGGGAGTAGAACCCAGGGTTCCTGCCTCTTTCTACTGAGGCCCTTCTAGAACAATGTTGGATTTGGCCTGAGAGGAACCAGGTGCAAACTTGGTTCTGCTCCTTACTGCTTGTATAACCTCCAAGGAGTCACTGACCTCTGTGGGCCTCAGTTTTCTTCTCTTTAAAGTGGAGGCATTCGGTCAGATGTCCTCTAAGGCTTGATGTCTACAATCCTATGAACTGACGAATGGGGAGACTAAAGAGATGCCCACTACAGCATGACCATGCCACTTACCTTACTTGGCTGGAGTGCATGGTAAATACTCCATAGAGGAAAACGAATAAGCCCACAAAGGCAGCAGGAATCAGCATTCCAGTGTACCAGCCTAGCCAGGCAAAGTACAGACCAATCTTCTCTCCAAAATAGCGCCTGCATGGAAGAGCAAACACACAGCTTGTCAGTCAGTGCTGCAGATTTAATGGCACCAGGTCTAGAATTTTGGGTGGTAAACTTGAAGCTAGTAGTCAGTTAACAAACATTGATCAAGCGCCTTCTATGCGACAGGTACTCTACATTAGGGAAAGGGGCCCAGAGATAAAATCGAAAGAGTCTTCGCCTCAAGACCCTTAGATCAATAGCATGTACCAATGCAGATGGAGTTGATGTTGACAGGTGGCCTGGTAGACAGAGAGCTAGACCTAGAGTCAGGAAGACTTGGGTTCAATTCTTACCTAAGACATTTATTAACTGTGTGTCCTTGGATAAGTTACTTACTCTCTCTCTGTCTCAGTTTCCTCATCTATAAAATGGGGATAATAATCTCACCTGCCTCTCAGGGTTGCTGTGAAGTTCAAATGACATATTTGTAAAGCACTTGGCAAATGCCTGGTACACAGTAGATGATTAATAAATTCTAGACACTATTATTAATAGAAAACAATCTTTCTTGTCCCTATGTTATATGAGGATGGAATGAATTGCATCAAATTTTTTTATTTTGTTTGACAGTCTGGTTTGATGGAAAGTGCTGGACTTGGCATTGAGAAATCCCTGTTCAAATTCTGTCCACCTGTTACCAGCTGTGTATCCTGGAAGCAGACATTTCATAGTGTGGTATGGTAAAAAGAATTTCAGGTCCAGCATTCCATCCACTATAACAATGAGATGCTGAAATAGTTCATAATGGTTCACATTCATGTTGCATTTGAGGTCTGTAAAAACATTCTTTATATTTTTATTACTTTATTTTTCACATCATTTTTATATATTTTATCTTGATCATTTGAACCTCACAACAACCCCTGTGAGGTAGATGCTGTTATTATTCCCATTTTACAGATGTCAAAACTGAGACAGGTCCAGTGACTAGCTTTCAAGCCATATAGCTAGTAAATGTCTGAGAGGGAATTTGAACTCAGCCTTCTTGGTTCTAAGTTCGCCAGTAGGAGTATGGCAAACAGCTTTCTCTGCTGTTCTCTCTGTCTCACTCAGCAATTATAAAGAAAAAAAATGTTAACCTTAAAAAAACTTGAGTAGGGTAAGCTATTGCTTGAAGGCCATGCATTTCCCATCAACATCCTTTATATAGCCATGACTTAGCACAGAGAAATGAAAGAAGTTCTCAATTCCCTCTTGTTCTCATTATGTGTAATTGTGTAGTAGGACACATCCGCTTTCCCCTGTTTGCTAACAAGCCCAAAGCCAATTGAATACTTAAAAAAAATAAATAAACCCTGCAACAGGATGTCAGGAGACCTGGGTCTTACTCCCAACTTTGACAATTACTGTAGACAGTTATTTGAGCTCAGGAAAATTGCTCACCCTCCCTGGGACCTTAGCTTCCTCCTTTATAAAATGAGAGGGTTATATACTGGGTAATCCTTAAGGTGTCCTTCACCTCTAAGATTCCTTGAGTCTATGACTTTGGGCTGTAACTGGTGAGATCTCTTGGCTGGTGCTGTCAGTCAGAGAGAACTCAAAAGCCTGCAAAAATAGGGGCCCCAAAGGACCTTTCTTGCCACTGTTCTCCCTGGTTTTATCATCTTTTCTGGAGGTGGTTCCTAGCACATGTATTCGATCCCAGCAATTACTGAACTGCAGATGCATTAGAGCTCAAAGTACCTCCTGGGATCTAGTTAGAGGGAAGGATATTCTCTTGATACAGATCTTGCTTCAGTCTCCCCTTTTTAATTTCTCCCTCTCTCCCCAAGTTTTACCTTTTATGTTTTTGGTTCAGAGATCTCTCTCTATCCATTGCCCTCAGTAATCCCATCATCAAGTTCACTGCCATTCAATTAACACTTGAATAGTATCGCAGCCATTTCAGAGGATGACAATTGGAAGGAACATGAGATATACAATCTAGTCTAATTCTATCATTTGAAGAAACTGAGATTAACTGACTTGTCCAAGGTCACCCAGGTAGTACAATGCAGCAAAGCTGAGTTTTGAACTTAAACTTATAGACTTCAAAGTTTTTAACTAACCCACATGGCCTCTAATTCCTCTTAGGAGAGTGCTATCAGAGAGCTTAAGAATCAAAGACTTTGGTTTTCAAAGCCCTTCATACCTTTCAGTCTTGTTATGCCTTATGCTCTTTTAATTACTCCAGTCCAGTGACACGGGCTTCCTTGATCAATGATCCTCTCACATAATGCTCCAGCTCCTGACTCCAGGCATTTTGTCTGTCTATCCTTCATGCCTAGAACTCTCTCCCCTCCTTATCCCTGCCTCCCAGCTTCCTTCAAGTCTCAACCAATGGCCCATCTTTTGCAAGAAGCATTCCTTGTCCTTAATCTTAGGGCCTTCTCTCTGTTGATCATCTCTAATTTATCCTTTAAATATCTTGCTTATATGTCAGCATTTTCATGTTGTCTCCCCTAATAGATTACTAGCTCCTTGAGAGCAGGGATTATCTTCTGCGTTTTTCTGTAGATCCAACACTTAGCTCAGTAACTGGTACATTATAAATGTTAATTGATTGCAATTTCAAAGCCCACAGTTGTTCATAAGTAACCACTTGGAATGATCAAATCTCACTTCTACCACCTAATACTTGTTAACCTTGAGCAATTCACTTAGCCTCTCCTAGCCTCATTTTTCTCATCTGTAAAATGAAAAGTTTGGACTAGATGGCTTCTGGGGTCCCTTTCAGCTCTAGCTATATGGGTCCATCAATAGCCTAGCCCTTTATCATGCAATGAACGTTTTCCTCTGGAAGACTGAGGCTCAATGTTTTACGAGGTGTTATAGCAGATCCATTGTACCAAATCCATGTCTTTTTTGGACATATCTTATTTTGGGATTCCTTTTGGTTTTAGGGGGAGAGAGCAAGGAACCTCTTCCAGTGGGTTACTCTTTCTACCTATTATATTGAAGGGAAAATATAAACGTGAATTCACTTATGGGATATCTACAGCTTTCACCACAGATTGTTGGAGGTTGTATTCTTTCTTTTGGGAGGAGGGTACCAAAGATTGGTATGGGGAAAAGAAGCTGATAAAAACCCCAACTGCTTTGGAAAGAAATGAATCAGAATGTTTATCAGCAGAAATATGAATCTACAGCTTCTATGAATAGCATCAAACAGAGAAAAAAAACCCTCATATAAGTAAGTACTCCCTTCTTCAAAGTAAGTTGAAATTGTCTGATTTGATAACAGCATGGTTTTCACATATAAATTATTCCTGTGGTGATGGTGGTGGGTTGATAAGATGAAGTTAAAGTGAAAATTATTTACAAAATGCTTATACCCCTTCCTAAATAAAATAAAATGATTGGAGTAATAAAAAATTGAATCAATAAGATGTTCCCTCTCTTCTCAGTGCAAAGAAGAAACTTGGAAACTGAGCAAGCACAAGCCACCCCCAACCTCACCCTGAGTGTGATCCCTCCTCTTTCCTATCCTCCTTCTTCTTACAAATTCTGATATGATCTATGCTCATATATGAGATCATAGGTTAAAAAAATGGAAACACTAACAAGGCATGGCTTGAAATATCTTCTTCCTCTTCCCTTTATTCTCTCTTATCTTTCCTTTTCTCTCGCTGTCCTTCCTTTTACCTCTTTCCCTCTGCTTTGCCTAGTCCTTCTCCATACACACACACACACACACACACACACACACACACACACACACATACATATACATACATACACACACTTTTTTTTTTGGTCAAAAGTTAGAATAATCTAGGGGAAGGAACAGAATAACAGAAATTAAGATTTTAGAAGGATCTCTGATATAGAAAGTACCAGCTCAGAGATTTAAAATGGAAAAGTACCATAGAGGTCATTTAGCCCAAACCATTCCATTTTAGGAAAAGAAAACAGCCTAGAGATTGTTCAATGACAAGTACCACGTCATAAAGGCTAAGTAGCAGAGTCAGGATTAAAAGCAGGTTCTCTTACCTATCATCCAGGGAGTTCCCTTCCTTGTGTTATATGTTGCTATCCCTACATAAATTAAGATTCTTTTTACCTGAGTAAGTCAGAATTTAAGAAATTAAATTTAAGAAATTAGAATTTCATATCAAATTAGAATACCCTTCCATTACATCTACCTAAGTATATAATTAAGTCTGATTAAAATCTTTTTAAAAATCCACCTAAATATTCTTGATATTTTGCAGGAAAAAAAAGTAAAACATCCTTCCTTCACCTCCTTGTTTACAGGGCACTACTCAATGAAAGTTTCCTTATTTGAAAAACAAATAAGTGAATATATGAAGGATATAGGATTTCTATGGTGCTGGGGCATTCTTCATGTGATAATACTGTTCCCCAGCAGATTACTATTTATGACTTAGTAGACAGTTCATAGGGAGATGCCTTATGGTCAGAGGCAATTAAGTGCCTTGCTCAAGGTTATGAAGCTCTGCATTTAGCAGACTGACCATGGTATCTGGAATCAAAAACAGTGAGGGCTCTTATACTCACTCTGACTCATCCCAGATGTCATTACCTGTAAAATAACACCCAGAGAATCTACCCCAAAGTGTGTGTGTGTGTGTGTGTGTGTGTGTGTGACACAATCTGGTGGTAAATACAGTGATGCACTTGGAATCAAGGCAACCTGGGATCAAATCCCATTTGTGACACTAACTCTATGAACATAGTTAAGTCACTGAACTTCCCTGAGCCTCAATTTTCTTATATGCAAAATGGTGATAAAATACCTTAGGTACCTACCTCATGAGGTTGTACAGTTCAAATAAGATCACTCATAGAAAGCATTTTGCACATTGTCAAGTGTCATATGAATGCCAGCTATGGGATGATAGCACATTAAACCCATGTCCTCCTGGCCAACCCCAACACTCCATCCATTAAGGAATCAAAGACCACAGTTTCAAATCTTGCCCTTGAAGCTCACTTCCAGTGTGACCTTAGTTTACTTAATGTCCCTGGGACTTATCTGTAATATGAGGAGGTCAGACTAAGTGTCCTCTGATGTCTCTTCCTGGTCTAGATCTATGATCTTCTGCAAGCCATTAAGAATTCCACCAAAATATGAATAACAATTGGAAAATGTTATTTTATTTTTTTTTTTTTTTGTAGAGGCAGCTAAGTGGCACAGTAGACCAAGTACTATACTTAGAGTCAGGAAGACCTGGGTACAAATGTGCCCTGAGACACTTACTAGCTATATGTCCCTGGGAAAATTACTGTAACTTCTGTCTGCCTCCGTTTCCTCATCTGTAAAATGTGGATAACCAAAGCACCTGTCTTTCTGGATTTTTGTGAGGATAAAATGAAATATTCGAAAAAATGCTTTATAAGACTTTGAATGTTACATCAATTCTATTATTATTAGAAAACTCAACTGAAAACCTTTTTGAGCATGAGTTTAAGGGTGACATTCATTCATCTGCAGTAATTGCTCCGATGTGGACACTAGATTTTGATCTGAGTTGGCAGTTCTCTTGAAAATGTCTTAGTACCTGATTAAGTCGAGGGGCTGATACTTATACCACATTCCCCAGCAGGCCCAGCGCATGTATAGCAGGTGTCTGTGGTTCTTGGCTCCATGAGTTTTAATCGGGTGTCTGCTCTGGTAGCTTCCCTAAAGAAAAAAGAAAATGATGAATGGGTATCTACCACATGAGCGAAATGAGAAACAGAACGGCACAACGATTGTACTTTCCCACGTTTAAAGGTCTGATTTGACAGTTCTCTGACAATTTTATAAATGGCGTCCATCTGTGGAAATGATCTAGGACCTATCTTCCTAGGCATCCCCTTCACTGGCCTTTAAGTCTGAATTTAAGCTCTTTTAAACATTCTTTGAGACAGATCTATATCACTTAGAGTAAAGCATGCTTTTAATCTTCAAGGCCTTTAATAAAGAAAATTATTATTCTTTAATGTGGGAAGAATTTGAGTGGAGGGAAAATATTGCAACCTTTTACCTACAAGTTGGGCAGTAATTCTGAATCAGTGGATTTTCTAACCTTTGAAGACCAGAAGACTATTATAATTGATGAGGAGAGTGCAAAGGTGTTGAGTCAGCTAGGAAAGTAACATGCTTTATAGAATTCTAGGATCTTTACATTTTACTTTTGAGAAAACTCTGTGTGTGTGTGTGTGTGTGTGTGTGTGTGTGTGTGTGTGCGTGTGTGTGTGTGTGTGTGTGTGTGTGTGTGTGGTGTGCATCTTCTGTTTGGGCACAGTTGTTTATATGTTTTCTCTTCCATTAGACTATGAGTTACCTGAGATGAATTAATTAGTTTGTTTTTGGACTTTCTTTGTATTTTCAGGCCTTAACAGTGCCTAGCACACCATACGTGCTGAATGCATGCTTGTTAACTGACTGCTTATTTAGTGAAAGATGCAAATCTTAATTCTCTCACAGAACTTCAGAACTGGCAGGTCAAAGCACATATTTCATATCCGTGTTGTAAACCACTTGGATGGCAATGCTCTTTTTATTTTCTTTTTAAAAAAATACAAGAGCCCTCTTTTTAATAGAGGGAACTGAGGGCTTTAGATTATAGTGTGTGTGTGTATGTGTGTGTGATACCATTCTTGCTTTCCAACCAGCTAAAGGAAACTAGAGACCAAAGGATTATGGATCTTGAGCTAAAAGGAACCTTGAAGGTCATCAAATGCAACCTCTTCTTTGTACAGATGAAGAAACTAAGGCATAGAGAGATTAAACTACTTACACAGGGTGTAAACAGCAGAGCCAAGATTCAAACCCATGTGTTTTGACCTTGACTCTCAAATAGTCTTTCCACTACATTGTGCTGTCTCTGTAATGAGGGTATGGGGTGAAAGCAAGTAGAATTATGAATTAGTTGTAAGGTCTCCTTCCATACTGGGGTTCAGGGCCTGGAGCTAAGACAGATCACTGCCACTTCAAGGAACCTCTTTTGAGTGTGTAGATTTTTTTTTTTGGTGGGGGGGAGAAGGGGGAAGGCTAGCTTGATTGTAAAGAGGACTGAATATGGCAAAATCTCAATTAATGGTGGTTTGTATAACAAGGAATAATCCCAAATGCTATATGCTTGTGCTAAAAATCCTTATAACTGTGTATTTTCCTCTTTTGTTACTTCCAAGGATATGGACAGACAATGGGTTTGGAAATACTCCAGACATGCAAATGGCTTTTGAATACTTATTCCTAATTCCTGGACCCAGGTCCTACTGTGAAGCATCCCAGCCATGATATGGCATGTATTCTCACTACAACTCTACTTTCAAATTCTAGCTCTAAGAACAATAGTCAAATCAATGCTACCATTCTTGGGAAGTATATATCATTCATTTGTTCCATGAGCCCAGGCACGATTCCATCTGACCAAAACCCTCCCCAGGTATGCTGTCCATTAGAGTGCAAGGACCCTGATGACAGGGACTTCATTGCTGGTTTGTACTTCTGTCCCCATCACTTATGATAGGGCCCGGCACATAGTAAGCACTTAATAAATTTTTCATTCATTTGTTCAGTTCCCCATCTAGCCTAACAATGCTTATACCTTCCTGTCTACTGGCACACATTAGTTACAGACAGCAACCCAGCTGTCCCTAACCAATAACCTCCTCATAGCCACCTAGACAGGACTGTCTCATCTAACATCTATTCTCCACTATATTACTTCTCTTTTCTGAGGAGAATCATAAGTACATGCAGCAAAACCATATATAGCATCCTTTCCCTAAATTAAGGAAAAGTAGGTTGCCTTTTTAAACAATTTGACATAATCGATCTTCTTCCCCAGTACTTTTACTTTCTCCTAGTCTTTCACTTCCTCATAGATTCATTAACTAAATTTAAGACGATCAACCTCCTATGCAAGGATGCACATCTCTGTCAACCATCAGTTCCTCTGCCCTTCAACTTATATCACACAAAATCAAAGAATGTTAAATTGGCAAGTGGATATGTTGTGTCTTTTCAGCCAAGTCCAACTCTCTGTGACCCCATTTGGGGTTATGTTGGTAGAGATATCAGAGTGGTTTGTAATATCCTTCTCCAGCTCATTTGAGAAATGAGGAAACTGAGGCAAACATGGTTAAATGACTTGCCTAGGGTCACACAGCAATAAGTATCTGAAGCTAGATTTGGACTTGGGTCCTCTTGACTCCAGGTCCAGCACTGTATCCACTGTGTCACCTAGCAGCCCAGAAGTGGATATAAGATACCCTCTAGCATCTCTATCTCATTATACAGATGAAGAAAGTGAGGCTCTAAAAATCACAATGGGTTGTACAAGTCCCCACACTCAGTCGGGTGTGTGTGTGTGTGTGTGTGTGTGTGTGTGTGTGTGTGTGTGTGTGTGTGTGTTTGTGTGTGTGTGATATAGCACCAGGATTCAAACCCAAGGACTTACTTGTCTACAAGTCTAGTGCATGATAAATATATCTTGTCCAGTTACTCTAAGAAACTTCCTCCTTTTCCTTACATTTTGGTTATAAGCTAAACGAAACAAACAAACAAACAAACAAAAAACCAAATCCCAAACACACAAGAACCCTAATCACAGGGGCAGCGAGGTGGCGCAGTGGATAGAGCACAGCCCTGAAGTCAGGAGGACCTGAGTTCAAATTCGGCTTCAGACCAAACACTTGACACTAGCTGTGTGACCCTGGGCAAGTCACTTAACCCCAATTGCCTAAAAGTAAAACAAAACAAAACAAAAGAACCCTAATCACAGCTGATATACTTAAGTAGTGCTATTGATAACTCTCGTAGTGATAAAAAGAAGTCAGGTGTCTCATGTGGCAGCTGAGAAATAAATGAGGGACCAGTGCCATCAGGCTTTAAAGCTCTTCTAAGTACTCAGGAAAGCCTGGCAGAATCTCCACAAAATTCCCCATTTATCTCCTTATCCATCTCTAATTGAATCTGCTTTTGCTCAAGCACCACTACTTCAATGCACCAAAGAGTCAAGATTTTGTCCCTCTGGGTGCCCCATATACCACTGTAGAGAGTAATCCCTCTGTGCCTTCCCTTCTCCAAATAGCTTAGATTTATGTATTTATTTTGTATGGGTATATATGTGGAGATATCATATCTAGCTATCTATATCCATATATGAGTCTACATCATACCTCTATGTATGCATATGTATGTGGGGGGCGTATATTTAAATATGTGCATATATGCATACATGCCTATATACATATAGGTCACAAGCATTTAATAAGTAGCTATTTACTATGTGCTGGGTGATGTACTAAGTGCTGGGCATAACAAAGAGAGGCAGAAGACTGTTCCCTGCTCTTGAGGAGCTCCCAATCTAACGGGAGAGACAACATTAAAATAACTGAGTAAACTAGAAATGTCTATGAAAACTGGTGTTTATCTCAGAGGCAAAACACTAAGATTGAGGACTGGAGAAAAGCTTTTTTGTAGAAAATGGGACTTCAGTCCAGAGTTGGAAGGAAGCCAGAGAAGACCAAAGGTAGAGATGAGAGGGGTGAGAATTCCAGGCACTTTAAATAGCCAATGAAAATGGCCCCAGGGGGCAGCGAGGTGGTGCAGTGGATAAAGCACCAGCCCTGAAGTCAGGAGGACCTTAGTTCAAATCTGGCCTCGGACCAAACACTTGACACTTACTAGCTGTGTGACCCTGGGCAAGTCACTTAACCAGAATTGCAAGAAAGACAGAAAGAAAGAAAGAAAGACAGAAAGACAGAAAGACAGACAGAAAGAAAGAAAGACAGAAAGAAAGACAGACAGACAGACAGAAAAGAAAGAAAGAAAGAAAGAAGAAGAAAGAAAGAAAAAAAGAAAGAAAGAAAGAAAGAAAATGGCCCCAGGAAGGAGAGGGAGAGTCTTATTTGAATAGTGACAAGGAGGCCAGTGTCACTGGACTGCAGAGTACATGCCAAAGAGTAAGATGCAAGAGGACTAGAAAGGTAGAAGAGAGGCCAGGTTATCAAGGGCTTAAGTCAAACAGATCATTTTATATTTGATTCTAGAATTAACTGAAAGCCACTGAAGTTACCTGAACAGGTGGGTGATACGGTCAGGCCTGTATTTTAGGATGATAAACTTGATAGCTAAATGGGGCATGGAGTAAAGAAGTTGGCCTGAGGCAGGCCAATGTCCCAGGCAGCTGCTGCAATAGGCCAAGTATGAAGAGATGATGCCCTTCACGAGGTGGTGGCAGTGTCAGAGAAGAGAAAGGGCTATATTTTAAGGAGATGTCACAAAGGTAGAAATGCTAGGACTTGACAAATGAGTGGATATGGAGGAAATGAGAGAGTAAGGAGTCATCTACAGCACCTAGGTTGGAAGCCCGAGGACTGGGAAGATGGTGGTTACCTTAACAGTAGAGAAGTTAGTTAGAGAAGAAGGTTTTGGGGAAAATATAAGTTAGGTTTGGATATGAGGAGTTTAAGATGTTTACATCTAGTACATCAGGTTCAACAGGTACAACAGGGTATTTGGAGACATGAGACTGAAGCTTAGGCAAGAGGTCAGAGCTGAACGGGTAGATCTGAGAGTCATCTGCATAGAGATGATAATGAAAACCGTGGGAGGTGATGAGATCAGAGGGAGAAGAGAAGAGAGTCCAGGACAGAGCCTTGGGGGTCCCCCACACTTAATCTGTGATGTGGACAAAGATCTAGTAAAGACCACAGAGAAGGAGCCATCAGATAGATATGAGCAGAACTACTGATATCATGAGAACCTAGAGAGAAGATAATATCAAGGAGAAGAGGTTGATAAAGTGTACCAGAGCCTGAAGGGAGGTTACATAAAATGAGGACCAAGAAAAGGTCATTAGATTTGGCAGTTAACAGGATTATCAGCGTCATTAGACAGAACAGTTTGAATTGAATGATGAGGTTGGAAGTCAGACTGTAAAGAGTTAAGAAGACAGTGAGATGAAATCATTTTTCAAGGTTGGCCAGAAAAGGGGAGAGATAAAGGATGATGGATTGTGGGGATGGAGAGATCATGGGGGCTTTTTTTTTTCTTTTTGGATGAGAGAAACATGGGCTTGTTTACAAGTAGGGAAGCATTTAGGAGATAAGGACTTATGTAACACTGGCAAATATGCATCAGTCTCTGAACACTCATTTAGAAACTGAAGTGGTTGGGCTACATGATCTTGAAGAATACTTCAAGTTCTAAAATATTAGCATGTAGCCCAAGAGCTGGATTAAAAAAAAGTCTGTGATATTCATTTCCTTTTTTTTTTTTCAATTTGCCCCTGGATCTTAGTAGTAGACTAGAAGACTGAAAGGCTTCATATCTCCAACTACCTTGTTGAACTGGAAGTGAAAAAAAAAATAACTTCATCACTGATTATAAGCTACAGTCTACTCATACTCATGTGTCTTTCCATTGGACTTTGTGTCAGCCATTTCTTGTTTCCTCAGGGATCGTGTTCCATAATTCATAAAAAAAAAAAATGACATGACTAGGAGACTATTGATGGAAAAAAGATGAGTTTGCCTGTTGGGCATCAGTCTGTTACTTTCCGACCAGAAAGGAAATTATTTTAGTAAAGTGTTGTCAGATTAGTGCTTCAGGATAAAGCCTTCAGGCTCATTTCTCATCAAAGGCAGTTCTCTGAGTATCTGTAACTAACTTAGGTCTCTATTCTATCAAACTCCTACAAGAGTCAAGTGTAAGCATCACCTGAGGTTCCAACACCTTAGAGAGAACCCATCATGACATAATAAGGACATAGAGTTTGGTATTGTTATGAGTTGTATATGTCACTGTGTGTGTGGAGCAGAAGTGTTCCTACCCTAGCTTTGCATTTTTCTATGTGCCACTGATATTGCTATTGAGAATGATGGCCCTGAGATCCTGCATTGTGACAATCATCAAACCAAAAATTCAATTATTTTCATAATGCTTGAGTTAAAGAGGAAGGAAAATGGAATCATAATTTTTAAAAGATTTTCAACAAAAGGTTTCTTGAGTTGGACAGGAATCAAATTCTCATTCTGTTGAGATGCATTTCACATGAGTTCCATTTCTCTAAACCAAGAGCCTTTCCCCCTGTCTGTTTTCTGCTTTGTTCACCTCATTACAGCTCATATAAAATACTACTGGGTGACTTTAGCTTCAACTAGTTTATTATTAAATGATTCTTATTTATATAATTATCCTTATTCTCCCTACTTGTCTTTTTTCCCCCCCTATTCATATGGCCATGTGTTTATTTAGTTGTGTTTATAGTATACCCCCCTAGGAGAATGGAAGTTCCTGGAAGGCAGGGATTTTCTCTTTTGGCATCTGTATCCTCAACATTTAGCACAGAGACATAAAAGAAATTTAGTAAATCTCCACTAACTTTCTACATTCAGTCTTCGTTTGCTTGTGGCCCCTTCCCAAAATAGTAATACCCCCTTCTTCAACCTGGTAACCAATCCATGTCAGTTCAATGAATACTTCCTGAAGAAATCACATGTGATTCTTCAGGAAGTATTCATTGAACTGGCATGTATATATACATATACACACACAATATGTATGTAAACACATATACACACACACCATATATGCACACACATATAATACATATATAAAATATACTACATACATGTTATATATAGTACATATGCTATATGTTATATATAGTTTTAATGTATCTATTACAGAATATATGAGAAAGAAAGATAAATAGATAAGTATCTCATCTCCCTGAATACAACAATATTCTCTTAACCATCTGGCTAATCTCAAGTCTCTCCTTCCCATCCATCCTCCATCTTGCTGTTAGCTCCATCTTTATGGAGCATGCTAAGGCTATGCTCAAAACCCTTCAGTGGCTCCCTGTTGCCTGCATCTTCCTTACCTATAAATGTCTTATCTCTTCTATTGGAATGGAAGCCTCTTAAGGGCAAGGTCTTTTCTTTTTTCCCTCACTGCATCCCTAGATTGACTGTGGCGCTCCACCTCTAATAGATACTTAATAAGCCTCTGTTGATGTCCTTGATCAAAGATCAAAACAAACCAGATTTTATAGTTAAACAAACAAAAAATCTCATGAGCTAGAGTGCCAGGTTAACTAACTTCTATGACCACTTCTTTCAGTGCACTTACTCTAAAAAAATCAAAGTTTTTGCCATAGGATGAGAACCTAAGCTGCTACATGTAAGTATATATTTTACATTCTTGGATTTTTTTATCGTCACTAAATCATTCAGGTTTTTAAAATAATAACATGGAATTTGAAGTTACCTCATGAGGAGGAAAGGACGCTTCATATGTGCCATTGTTCAAGAGTTTATTGATACCTAGGCAGAGAAGAAAGTCAGTTAATGTACCACCTAGAAGACTTCCTTAAATCAATGAATATCTACATCTGAGCATGGGAAGGGGCAGTGGTGGTGGTGATAGTGGGGTTGGGTTAATCTCAGGGCACAGCTCCAAGAAAATCTTAAAATAATCCATACAATTGTTGTTAGAATGATAAAAGACAACGGCAATGAAGACAATTCAGTCTGGCCATGATATTGACATCATTAACAATGAGACATGAGGGGCTAAGACAATATATTTGATCACATTGGGTCAGGAAATATCCTGTATCTCTAATAACCAGCCTACATTTCTGAATATCAGTCCGTGGTCTCACCCATTAAATACCCTGGACCACCACCAAAGTTGCTTTTCTCATTGTCTCCATCAGTCCTTTCTCATACTTTCCCATTTCCTTGTCATAGTTCTCACTGTTTTTTTTTTTTTTACTGAGAATGCTCTCCTTTACCTTATGAATAAATAGTCTTAGATTTCCAGCTCCAATGCTCCTCTTCTGTGAAGCCTTCCCTAATTTCCTCTGTCTGGAAGCAATTTTTCATGTTTGATTTTGTGGCCCTCTGCTTTTCTACCCCTTACCTCTCTTCTTATGCATTTGTGAAAGGAATGAAGGAAGACCTCCAGTCTGTTAAGGGAATGAATGCTCTATGCTGAAATTATAGGAAGACAAAGGCCACATAGGATGTGCTGTGGTTTGGTGGTGGTTCTCAAAACTGGAGAAAATTCCAAATTGATGAGATCACAGATCCTCTAGAGTATTTGAGTTTCTACTTACATTTTAATTTGCATTATATTTGTCTGTGCATATGCATTACATCCCAAACCCTAATCATTAGATTGTTGGCTCCTTGATGTCAAAAGGCATGTTACATTTATCTTATTGTCATCCCTAGTGATTATTATAGTGCCAAGAAGAGTATGGGCAACATTCAGCATACGTTGGTTGAATGAATAAATGAATGAATGCACACTTCACTTTATTTTGCATGAGCCTAAAATAACTTAGTAACCACCTATCTTAACACTGTAATATTCAATAAATAAATAAATCTATTTCTAAAATACGTTTTTATGAGGCCACTGGTACTCACTGGTTTACAATCTAGAATTGAATGGACAAAAAAAAAGAAGATGCCATCTTTCTAGAGTCCTCTTATTAAAATCATACAATCCAAAAAGAAAGATATTTTTTTCATTCCAAATTCCTAAAGACTGTAGACATTATCATCTCCCACCTACTAATTATGACCCTGCCTTTAGTGTCCAAAATCAGGGTGTTTAGGTTATTTAAAAGTAGTCACCAGAGCCAGTGAAAGTTTGAAAGCTTTCAAGACAATATTTCTGAATCTCACCAAATTCTTCAAAGGTCACTTAATCTGTACTCATATGGGGATCTCTACTCTCATAGTATCAATAACTGGTCACCTGGCATGTTCTTGAAGACCTCCAAGCACAGGAAACTCACTACTTCCCTAGGACATCCCTTTTACACTTTTAAATGACTATAAGTGGTAGGAATAGTTTTTCTTAGGAAGAGCTAAAGCCTTCCTCCACCATAACTTTTAATCTCTCATGTCAAGAATTACATTGCCACTTTTCCCACAGGACAGTTCTTCAAATACTTGAAGGAAGCTACCATTTCCCCAATTAATATTCCCTTCTCCTTAAGCTTCCTCCAATTCTTTTAACCAATAAGCTTGGAGGCCTCTCACAATCACATTTAAGGATGGGCTAACAGTATTTGTTGTTGTGCAATTACAGTTGTGTCTGACTCTTCATGAGTTTTCTTGGCAAAGGTACTGGGGCAGTTTGTCATTTTCTTCTCCAGCTTATTTTACATATAAGGAAACTGAGGCCAACAGGGTGAAGTGATTTGCTTAGGGTCATGCAGTAAGTGTCTGAAGGTGGATTTGAATTGACTTTCTGACTCCAGGCCTGACACTCTATCCACTATGCCATCTAGCTTGACATGATATGGCAGTCTCTCTGAACAATAATCAGTCAGTGGGAAGTAGCCTGGATTTAGATTGGCCATTTTTTTTTTTAGGTTTGAAAGGTACAAATAACAAACTAAATGAGATAACATATTTATGGCACTTTATAAACCAAAAAGTGCTAACAAATATGATCATTATTATTGCCAATCATAACAACACAGCCAATCATTTAACTAAAGAAGCCTCCTTACCTTTCAAAAAAACAAAACAAAACAAAGTAGGACCCCTGAGGCAGGGGCTATTTCATTTTTGTAACTGTATCCCTAGCACCTGGTATGTACCTGGCACATAGGGGGTACTTAACAAAAGGCAGTTGAATTGAATGAAATTGAGCTGAATTGAGAAAAGAATTGAAATGCTGGCTCTGAAAAAGAAGTTGTACTTATTATGCTGGAAAGTGGGTGTTTCCATTTTATTAAATGAGAAACATCACAAGGAGAACAGTCTCCTAACACAAAAGCCATGCTCTTACCAAAGACCAAGTTTTAGCTTACTTTTTGTTTGTTTGTTTGAGATTTAGAGTCAGACTTCTTGATTTCACAATCACAGAATGTTAGGCTTGCAAAGGCCCTTGGTTACTCAGAGCTAGAGGAGACCTTGGAAACAACTCATTCCCACTCTCTCAGTTTCTAGGGGAGGAAACTGATAGCCACAAAGAAGCAATAACTTGACCAACACTACCAGACCAGTAAGTGGCAAAGGCTGGACTGGAACCCCCAAATACTCACATCCCAATTTTCATGCTCATACTATTGTTGCAGCCTTGGATTAAGGTCTTACCCATTTTTGTTTTTCCATCTTCATACTGGGTGCGTTGCAGCACATGATGAACAATCCTGCTTCTCGTGGAATTGTTGAAGAAAGTGTCCTTATTTGTTATTGTGAAGCTGTGGAAACGATTGGACTGGTTTTAAGACTCAGAACTGAGCAAAGGACACAGCAAGAGTATGTAAATGCCACACAATCTAAAAGTTTTTCTCTTTAAAATGACAGCCAACACGATTTCTTATCAGGATCCCCATATCTCGACAGACAAGAGCCTGACATTTCACTTTCCATTACTATGAATGTTAATTCACGACAAAAATAACACCCATAAAAGCAATCACCTATCAAACGTCATTTTGAATGTCTCCTTTTAGTACTCATCCTCAGCATGGAAAGAGAGGGGAGAAGAGCAGCCTGAACATTTGCTTCCACTGAATTATTTACAATTTTGAAGCAATGCTGACAATGTAGCTTGCTGCAGGGTTTCTTCTAAATAGAGATGATTAAAAATTCAGTCACCATTTCCGAGATTACTTCTCCGGGTTTCAGTTCTTTCTCAGCTAAGAAATGAATATTTTCCTCTCTGTCATCTCCCTACCCCTCCTTATCTCAATCAATGCAGTCTGATTCTACTCTGAGGTAAGAGAGCCTTCCAATGACTAATTACTCTTCCTTTGTTTTGGGCTATCCACATCCTGCTTTCCTCCTAAAGCTTTGTCCAGATGAACCCTGTGCTCTACAATGCACAGTAAGAACATTTGGTTGTCTGGAAGTCTATTACTGGGCACACACACACGTGTCCTGACAATCCAGTGATGAATGGGATTCAGTGATGAGCTTGAAGGATGGAAAGCTTTGCATTACTTTCTGAAGCATTAAGACGTCACAGGATTGCATCTCCAGCCCAATTACTCTCCAGATGGCTCCATTTCCTCAGTATCTTTACTCCCCTTGCTAGGACTCTACCCTGAAGCCTGTTCTCTTGATTAGTGGGTCCAAGGTCAGGACTGCCACTCCTGGAGGGGCCCCAGCCATGCTTACTTTACTCCCAGGACAACTAACTCACTCCTCAGACTGCTTCACCTCCTCAGCAGTCAGTCAGCCTCCTTGAAAACAGGAGCTGTCTAGTTTTTACGCTTGCTCTGTCTGTCCGTCCGTCCATCTGTCTATCTACCTATTTATCTACCGATCTACCTATGAGTATTTTTCTCTCTCATCATTGTTATTGTGGGCTCTCCCTTTGCTCACACAGATCATGTAAGTTACTATTAAGAAAAGAATTGTTCTACATGCTAGCGGCCAACCTTCTAAAGAACTTCTAGAAGTCATTCCTTAGGCACCATTCTTTGTTAGGTGTATAGGAACATCGTTTTAGAGCCAGATGGCACCTAAGAACCACTGAGTCAAACATCCATATTTTATTGATGAAGAAAGTGAGGGAGAGAAAAGCTCATGTATTATAGATTGAGTTTGAAGGAACATTAGAAGACATCTAGTTCATCTCCCTCATTTAATAGATGAGCAAGCTGAAACTGACAGAGGTTAAGCAACTTGTCCAAGGTCACAAAGCTAGTAAGTGTCTGAGTCAGGATTTGAATACAGATCTTCCTGGCTTAAAGTGCAGAATTCCATTTATGACATCATGCTGAAATCCTAATGAATGGTATTTATATCTTAATGGAAATTGTCAGTTCTTATTCTCTACGGCCAGTCCTTCAAATTCCTGGTTCCCCCATAGCCATGATTCAGTCATAATCTGTACTTTTGAGGAACTAAGTATATTTTATTGTGATCTCATTCTTTGCTAATTAAATATCTAACTTCTTTTAAACTATGTAGGTATTCTTCAATTAATGAACTTAAGGAATGAGAGACAAAATACCCTTAAAAAGAGCATCTTAAGTTAACCAGTTACCTCATTCACCTCAAATGAGGGCTGATTACAGTAATAGTATGGCATAGTAGGTATATTGGAATTTAAAGGATAAACATCTATTTCCAAGAGAAACCCAAGGTTATTAAAAAAACTTTTAAGTTTCCTGAAGCCAATTTCCAACTGTTCAATTCTGAGCCTGACATCCTTTTGCACTGTGTATCCCAGATCTACATAGTGGTAAACAAGCCCTCTAGGTTATCTACCCAAACTCATGTCATAAAAGGTATAATATAATTATTTATCCATTTGGTCATTCTTGTGTGGATGGTGAAGGCTAAAGTGTTTTGAGCAGTTAGGATTTCTTCTGGGGGGTACTTCAGTGTTCTAGAGAAATATGGGTAATGTCATCTGCTAACATGAGCATCCTGAGGAGCTTACCATCCACAGGGAATCCCTCTTCAACTTGGATTCTCTGCTGGATTTTTTAAATACCAACATTATGAGATTGTCATTTTTTTTGGCTATGCAGCATTTAACATAACAATGTCTGAAGAATGAGGATGGATATAGCATAGAGGTCAGTGTGGAGACTCAGCACTTAGTATAGTGCCTAGCACATAGGAAGTGCTTAATAAATGTTGACTGATGGTGGGTGTGAACTGGTCACAACAGATGACTAATGAAGGTTATTGAAGAAAGTAAAGGGCAAAGGATGGCATCATATAAATGTAGGATAGGAAAGGAAGTAGGGCTGATCACATAGCAAGGAGAAGAGATAATAGGTGGATAGCCCAAAGTTTTCACTGGTATCCTCTTGCTGTCAGGACAAACTAAAGATGGCTTCCATCACAGCAAACTCTTGGAAGCATATGAACAACAATGAAATAGAATGGGCAGTCATGAATGCAATATGGTCTGCATCTTTGGAAGGAACATCTTAATTATGAAGAACACGGATCGATTTGAATATCTGTAAGTAGAGCGGATAGAGAACTCTCCTCAAAGTCAGGGTAACGTGGACTCAGGACTTCTGATTCATATTGGCTGTTTGACCCTAGGCAAATCACACCCTATCCCCCCCACCCTCAAGTCCATCAACCCTTTAAGATTTTCAGTGTTAGAACAACAGAAAGGAGGCATGGATAGAAGGAGTATTCTCAGAAAAAGACCAATAATTGATATTTCTTTAGCACTTTGAGGTCTAAAAAGAGTTGTTTCTCCCTCGTCTTATTTGATCCTCATAATGGACCTGTAAAATCAATACCACTACTACCACAAATAAGAATAATTAATACTTATATAGATGCTATTGTCATTCTCATTTCACTGAAGAAAAAAAAACTATTTATAGAAATGAAATGACTTACCCAGAGTCTCACAGCTAGTAAGTGTCAAAGGCAGGATTTGAACTTAGTTCATCCTGACTCCAGATGTTGTATTCTATTTACTATGCCACTTAGCTTTACTATAGGCATTAGTATTTGCATTTTACTGATGAAAAAAACCTGGAGCTAACAGAGTTTACATGAGTGCCTGGGGTAACACAGAACTAGTGAAATATTTGCAATGGGAGTAGAGCCCAGGTCTTCCTGGATCACAGTTTATCACTTTCCATTCAGCACCTAGCCCAGTACATGGTAGATGCTTAGCAAATGTCTGTTGAATTTAACTTATTGTATTATTATTATTATTATTATTATTATTATTATTAATATTATTATTAATGTTATTATCCCTCTCTTGCTGCCTACAGTAACAGCAATCATTAGGAAGGCATAACAGTTTGGCTATTAGATGAACAGTCCATAAACACTGCAATATTTATGATTTGAATTTTTATGAGTCATAAAACACAGAATTCATAATGCTCATTGAGTGTTGTTCAGAAATTAAGTGTTAAATATTAATAAGGAAATGAAGATTCTGCCTAAATTGACAAGCCACAGAGATGCTGCTGCTCCTGCTTTATGCCATTGGCAGCCCTGGTTTCACAGCAGAATGAGCACATGAGGCTTGAGAGACCCGTGGGAGTGGGAATACTTACTGGTGCATACGTGCCTGGCTGAAGGGGGCGGTGTAGCAGTCTGTCTCCTCCAAGTCAGGCAGAGCCTCCTTGTCGAGTTGCATTGGGTTTTTGGGAAGCCAGCTTCTCAGCTGGATGGTTTTTCGGTACAAACTGGGACAAAGTCACAATATAGATTGGATTAGATGAGGTGCTTACCACAGTACCACATTTATCTTGTGCTGAGACCCGTTAAGTGCCGCAGGAAACAGAATCATAGACTTCATCTTATGGGTGGGTGCTTGAGGCGCATAAAATACTCTGTACCTTTAAATGAAGAGGTTATGTAAACTGCCCCTAATCACTTTTGGAGCAAGTGGTAAGTAGGAATTGAACTCAAGATTGAAGGCATAAAATCTCATGTTAACACGCTTTCCCCACATCATGCTCCCTTCATTCACTATTTTCATTTATTTCAAGCTTCATAACAAAGCCCAAATTATTGTTGTAATAGGACATACTGTAATAGAATCCATAGCATAGTGGTTGGCATATAATAAACATTTAATAAATGCTATATATGCCTATAAGGAGACCAAAACCTATTTTTGGGTATCATTATAATGAGGATTCCTTTCCTGCATAGGTTGGACTAGATGGTTTCCAAGGTTCTTTCTAACTCTCAAATTCTGTGACTCAGGGGGAAAGTGGTCCTGATATTCAGGAATTCTCATCACTCAATGACATTCCACCTTCTACAATGGTGTCACCTATTAGTGACTCTACTGATGCCATTTGAAGCCAGGAATGGGGAATGCATAGGCTGTCAAATACTAGACACCATCATTTCCTTACTGATCCCCCTCTACCCCAGCTACCACAACTCAGATACAATGGCATCATGGGAAGATTTAAGGGTTTATAAGCCTTTGATCAATTCAATGCAATTTTACCTTGATTCGAAAGCATCATTTTTATAAGATTTACATTTTTCAGACCCATTCCAGTAGTTCTGAAGAATACATCCACCATAGAATTAGAGACTCTTAGAACTTTAAAGGACCTTAGGACTAACTAATACTCTCCTCCCAATTCCTGACATTTGATAGGTGAGGGTCCTAAGATGCAGAGAGATTTTGGGACTTGCCAAGGTCACACAGCTAATTTATTGTAGAGTTCTCTCTACAACTCAAGTCTCCTGACTCCCATTCTGTTATTCCCACCTCCCCCCACCCCTGACATGATCCTGCTCATTCATAATGGATAAGGTTGAGGGCAAAGGTTCTCTCTTTTGGCAAATTTTGGCTTCAAAAAAACCGACCCATGCTGTCCAGGCTCCTTTAAGAAGATATGGTATCAAAGGAATCTGAAATTCAAACCATTGGATTATAGATGCATAGATGTATAACCACCACATATCCTTAGGAACAATTTTATAGACCACAAATAGGGGAAAAAACAGTAGAAAGGACACTGAAATTACAGTCAGGAAGAGGTGAGTTCAAATTCTTCCTCACATACTTACTAGCCGTGTGACTTTGGGCAAATCACTTAACCTTTCTGTATCTACTAATAATTAGTTTTAATCCCCAAATATAGGGCAAAAATTGTATTTCCATTTTTCTATTTCATTGAAGTCAGATTGTGTGTATATATGTATATGTGTATGTTTGTGTAATATATGTGTATATCTATCTATCTATATGAGGTAGTACTTAAAATTGGTTACATGCTTCATATAATACTTTTCTCGTTCCTATTCCACTCCTCTGTCTGCTTCTATGGTGACAGTTTGCTAATTTTATTCAATTACAAAGAATCAGAATTTTATAAGACCTTAGAAATCATCTAAACTCAAACCCATTTCATTCGCTATCCTACCACCCATTTTTCTTGATGTCTACACTGGGACCCAGACAAGATATGCCATCTGCTCAAAATCATATTAAAAAGCCAAGGGCAGATTGATGAGTTACAGATCAGACAGAGCTTTTTTTTTTTTAACTAAGAAAATGAAGAAACTGTGAGACATGTTTTTCCTAAATTAAGGACATATTAAGTTGATTTGATCTAGTGAGATTTGACTAAATGTAGTGTGGAAAGTCTAAAATCCTTCATGAATATTTATTATTTTTGATTTAGGACTTAAAGTGTTAACATTTTTGCCATAACTCATTTAAATTTAAAATGAATGATAAACTCTTATTATTCCCCTCCATTGCCCAACCCTAGAATAATATTAAACCTGGAATTTATTGTAGAATTAGCCACTTCCTTTTCTTTATCAAGTGGACTGACCTAATATTTCTGGAGATGTTATAGTCTTCATTACTTATATTTCTATAAAATGATTGGTTTGAACTGGATAAATTCAAAAGTCTCAAGCGCATCTAACATGCTACAGGCAAGATTGCTAGGTGGTTCCTTTCTCTGATGTTCTTCCCTCTGTGTTCTAGGGTCCTTTCTAGCCTTTGTATTCTATGTTCTATATTTTGGTTACTTCTCTCTCAATATTCAGGGTTCTAAGATCCCATGTAGGTAGCTTTTAGCTCTGATATACCATGCCTTAAACACTGAGGTCTTTAAACATTCTTCCAGTTGTGACATTCTCTGTTCTATGTTCAAAGACATTCTCTATTCTAAGATTCTCTTTTGTTCTCAAGTTTTTCCAACACTATGATTCTAATTATTTCTCTAACCTTTAAATTGTTTACCTTTAATATTTCCAATAACATTTCAATCAGTACATTTTTCATCTTTGCATTGCTGTTTTGTTTTTGTACCTCCATCCTCCATCTTTTTAGCCATAAATAACAGTATAATAACATTCCAGAAGACTTTTGTTTGAGACTCCATGAAAAGGAAGGTTATTTCCTGAAGGGAATGTATATCCTAGTATCCAAGGATCCTATCCTCATAGGTTTCAGGTAGCTTGGTGCCACTGATTCATCTTTGTCATAGCTACCATGACTACCAAGTCAAAGGACATTGTTGCTGTTGTTGTTGTGCTTTGGAACATATGTCTAAAATTCTGGTCAGTTCCAACATGATCTAAATGGAAGTCAAGATTCTCAACTTTGAAATTATTTCAAATTCCGTCACTCTCATTAACTAGCTAATAAAAGGTAGGTCAGTCCCCCATTACACCTCATTTTCTTCATCTTACAGGTTAAGACACTGGCCTGAATAATCTCTAAGCTTCCTGCCTTTTCTATTTTTTTCTATGTCTACTGTAACAACAGCAACTAATCAGTATTGTATTGAGTAATGCTCTGTTTTTCAAGAACTAAAATTTCATTGAGGTAAAACTTCCTTTCCACATCATTTAATTGTGTAAGATTTCTGGCCATGTCTAATTGAGTAAAAAAGAGCAAATCAACTGTCTGGCCAATTTTAAACATTTGTTATTTGGCATAATGACATTTTGGAAATCTTCTTGAAGACAATCCAACTTATTATTTTCTCCTTGAATTTGCAGCTGGTTTATAAGGTAGAATTGAATTGGAGATTTTTGTTTGCTTTAGCATAATAAGCTGGCATCACAGTAGTTTTATCATCCACCAACCTATTCAATGTTCTGTTCTTCCAGTCAGTATAATAGCATTTTTTCCTGGAACACACAAAAAAGAAAGGAGAAAAGAAATCAGCTGAGTATAGTTGTGAGGAGTTATAATTAAGGTTAACTATAACATTCAAGAATACCAAGCATGAATATTTTAACATAGAAAACTTTACCTGTATGAAGATGGCGGATTTAAGAAGAGCAAAACATTGCCTTATTTCAACCAATGGCATTAATTGCTCCCACAGAAACATGACCCTAGTTGAAATGATATTTCAAGGGACACCTAATTCCACAGCAATGCATTTTTTAATAAATAAGAAAACTACAAATGCATGATCAGCTAACAAAGAAGACCTATAAGCACCTAAAATTGAGGTTTAGATAGATCTGAGACAATCATATGACCACGATAGGTAGAACTGCTTGGCTCTAAGATCATGTGTCATCAAAAGCAACCCTGAGGTCTACAAATGGCAACCAGTGGATTAAAGAGGGAAAACAGATAGCTAGTTCAAGAATAAGATATAAAACAATTCAGAGACATGATGGAAAACAGAGGCTACTTCACCTCAAGGAATCTTCTGTATATTTATTTTAAGATCAATCTAAAGATTAAAATAATGAAATGAGTTGGAACTTTATTTCTTTCAACAAAGACATAAGTACATAATCTCTAGCTGGGTGGGCATAATCCATATTGTCAGAGGAGCAAAACAATGCACAAATATGAAACCTTAGGCAGTGCCAGTAAAGGTACTTATTAAAACATGGATTCTGGAGACCATTTTCCTAACCCAGTCCAATTCCCCAAGAGAATGATGGAGAAATGCAATGAATGAGACAGTACTTTTGAATGTCCACAAGTTATATAAAAATAAATGTGAACTTTAAAGACTTTTTCTCCTTTTTTGTGTTTTGCATTTCAGAACAAATTTGGTGGAATAATCAATCTGATAATTCTTTGTTGTGAGTAGGAATACTACTCTTATATAAGAAACTGTCTATATAAAGAATATAAAAACTCTATATGACAAAGAATTCAGACAAATTAGGTGTCTGGTAAATTGGACAATGGCTGTCACCCAAAATTTAGGGTGAGGCTTGGTTGCAATATATGAGATAACATGTCAGCACTTTTTCAAAACTTAAAGCACTACATAAAGACTATTGTTGTTATCACCATCATCATTATTAATACCATTATATGCCATTGATTTAATCATTTTAATATGTGCTATTCTTTAAAAATGTGAATTTGCAATGTAAATTTGCAGAATGTGTTTTAAACTTACCTCTTAGAACCTACATAATTCTTGGAAAACATCATTATGTTGAAACAAAAATCAATGTCCTG